ATTTTAACCAATTCTATACTACTGAAGCAATTTTTATTATTATAACATTATATTTTTTTAAAAGTTCTGAGATTTAGTTATCTAAAAGAGATAAGATATAAAGTAATAGATATGTTTCTATTGATATTAAATAATTTAAATTTGATATTTAAACATATTTGTTTTTAATAATTATAAATTTTAAAATTATACCAAATTAGATAATTGTGTCATCATGTTACTTCAATATAATTGCATCAATTCAAAATTGCCAAAATCATGTAATTGCGTCATATGCATTTAATTGCGTCAAAATTGTATAATTGTGCCATAATTGCATTATGCGTCACATTAATTGTGTCATTATAAAATTTTTAGATAATTGCGCTACCAATAAATCAATTTCTGCCACATGTATAGTAAATACTATAAGAAACTCTATTATGATAATTACTAGGATTAAAAAGAAAAAACTGGGATATTCTAGAACAATGATGTCACGCAAGAACAAAAATAGCAAGAAGATAGAAAATACTGGTGGGATTAAAAAGATCCTGGCATTTTAAAGAAGATTCTGGTTAAACCCCCAAAAAGGAAATTCCGCAGTCACTTGCGCAACCTGAAAAATTATAAAAAGATGTAGTCTTTTTAAGCAAGAACCTTGCAAGAAAAATTCAAAAATTGAAAATTTCAATCAATCAAAACTACTGAAGACTTTAACCAATCAGGATGGACTCTAGAGGAACAGGGAAACCCTTGAAATAACAATTCCAAAAATGGAAATAGGTTTGTAGATCAAATAGAAACTAAAAGAACTTAAAAGAATAATAAGTCTTTAAGTAAAGAATTAACAAAAAGAAAAAGATTCAAAAGGTTCTAGAGAAAGTAAACAATGACATAATTGATAAATAAATGATGTAATCAAGTAAACAAACAGTAAACAAAGGAGAACCAATCAGAAAACTAATATAAAAACAATATAAATTATTAAATAATATAGTATAAAAATATAATAAAATAATATAAAGATAAAATACAATAATAAATTTAAATTAAACAACTGAAGAAAAGTCAATTAACAATATAAATTAGTATTCTAGAAAAGTTCTGGAATAAACTGGTGAATGGAGATATAAACAACTACAATAACAATAAATAGAATTAAAGTAAAGGATATAAATAATTAAAATACTAAATATAAATAATTAGAAAATTGTAGGTTATAAAAGACCCTTATATGGAACCTGGCTGGCAAGCTTTTAAGTCAAGTTTTTCAACCTTTTTTCTTCTCAACTTTTGAGTCTCTGAGGATCTTAAAAGAAAGAATCAAAAAATCTTAATAATATCTTTTACCTATGGCTTCATAGGAAGAAATCTTTAAGAAAATAATGAAATTATAAAAGAAACTCTTGCATTTTTTCTGAACAATCATTATGATACCTTAAGAGAAACCCTTGAAGTTTCTCTGAAAAATTAAATAATAATTTTTTGGAAATAATTCTGGATGAAGAAAAGAAATTTGGAAATATAATATTCAAGTAGAATTCTTGAAATTTCAAAAAATCAAAGGAAAACTCTCACAAAAATCAAAAATTCTAAAAATATTGGAGTAATATTTGAACAGTAAAAAATCCTTGGAAAACAAAAAGAAACTGAAAATTGAAAATTTTAATAAAAACAAAGGGAGGATTGGATTAGAAATTCTTAATTTCTTTTGAGAAATTGAAAGATCATCAATAAGACTATAAGAAGATTTTGAAAATCTCAAGTAAAAAGATTTTAAATTTGTGAAATTTATCAAAGTAAATTGTGCTGAAAATGAAGAAATGTTTATGAAGGATGTAATAGCATTAGTATCTGGTATGATAATTCATAGATTTCTTATAGGATCAGGAAAAATCAGGCTAAAAGAATCGTGGTGAGATCATAAAGGTAAGAATGTTATAAGAAAAATTGTTAATGTTTATAGGAAATGTAAAATATTTACCACAGTAAGTTTAGGATGATAATGATCTTTAATTTGTATCAAGAGAAATTGGAAATGAACACCTTGCCAAAGAATCATAAAAAAAAGTGAATAGTTACCAATTGATTTAAAAGAAACTTCAGGTTAGATATTAAAGCAATAAGTTCTAGGAAATGTAAAATCTAACTCCATAAAATTATAGAAAATATTGAAACCTTTGATTTGTATGGAATAGATTTGTGAATGAACATCACACAGCAAGAGTAAAGTAAAAAATTGATCTTTGCCAATCAATTTAGAGAAGCACAAAAGAACCTTTGATGATCATTGAAATTTCATTGGATAAAATAAAAATCAAAACAAACTGACAACATCACTTGATTAGCAATAAATGACCAATAAAAATAAGAGTATAAGATGATGAAGTCACATGAGATTTTAAATTTTATCCATGCAAGTTAAAGATATAAAATGTAAACAAGGAAGAATTATCAAAGAAAACTTGGAAATTCATTAAGAAACTAAACAATACCACTTTATCAAACCAAAGTTAAAATGACAGAAATAATATTCTTTATTAATAATATATCATCTAAAAACCAATATTTAAAGAATAAAATATACATTTTTGCAAAAAAAAACCTAAAAAGAAAAATACACAAGAATTTTACAAGACCAACTGAAGAAAGAAGTGATGAATCATAAAGAAGTTATAACTCCAAATGTGAAAGAAGATTTAAAACCACAAAGAAGAAAAAGGAGAATCGAAAGAAAACAAAAGATGGAGAAATCCAATTTTGAAAAACCTGAAGTATCAAGAAAACTCAAGAAGAAGAAAAATATCTGTGTTAGAAAAATCCGATATGGTGAAAGAGAGAAGCCAAAACAAGAATGAAGATAAAGATTCAAAAAAGAAGACAACGATAAACTAATGCGAAGAAAAGCCTTAAGAAGCAAATTATTGTTATAGTCTATTGAAATATATAATTTGAAGGTGACAATAAGACAGCTGATATAATTTAAAAAATTGATTAGAAACAATAGTTTTGTATGAACATTTTGAAACGAACTGATAATATAAATTTGTAATTGAAATAATCGAAATACCAACATAACTAATAAATAAATCTTTCAGAATAAGTAGATATTATAAAACACCAGATATAAAAATCTAATAAGGCAAAAAGTATAAAACCATTTATAATAAACAAAGACATTATTATAAATAGAGTTTTTGAACATATATTTGGAGATATTGTGGAAAACTTTCAACCAAGTTTAATGGTTGACTTGCAATTCATGATTAAAATATCTTCAAAACAAGATGACATTTTTTGGAATAAGTCTTCATCTTTGGAAGAAGATTTATAAGAAGATTTAGATTTTACAAGACTGAGTAAGTAACTTATCAAGAAGATAATTGTGATAATAATTGTGTAATAGTTTTTCATTGTACTGAGATTTTAAGAAGTGATTGAATTGTAAGGAATTGATTTTATTCATGCAATTAAATACAAAGTTGAATTACACAAGATGCAAGTATGCAATAATGAAAATATGTAATGCAAATAACAAAGACTCAGAAGTTACTAAAAAAGGAAGAATTAAATCAGTAAAGAGATGGAATGAAGCAAGAGTACAATACAAAACAATAATACGTACAACATTCTCTTGATATCACCATCTCTTTTATCAAATAATTCTAATTGGACATGAAGACAACGACGTTTGCAAGCAAGTTCTTCAGAATGACAGGCTGATTTCTCTTCAGTAAGGGAATCAATTCTTTTGCGGAGCTGGAGGACACCATTGCGAAGAGTAATAAGTTCTTCTCTCAATTGAGTATTAGACATTTCATCAATAGGGTGAAGTGTTAAGTGAAAGAAAATTTCATCACCTTCATGATTCTGAGCAACAGGATGATTCTGAATATTTTGAATATTCTGAATAACAAGAGGACGAACAACATTTTGGATATTAGGCAAGCAAACAGAAGGAAAATTGAGAATCTGGCAGATGGGAGAACTGCGAGGAACATCACAAGGATTGTCACATGCACCATTATAAATATTTTGACTATTAGTACCATCATCACTAACATTAGACTCTGATCTTTGCATATTATAAGAGCATTTATGATAAAAATCAGTAAGAAAAGAAAATCTTTTTCGAAAATTTTGAACATATATGCTAGGATACACTTACATGATTAAAATGGGAGACAAAATCCAACAGAAACAAGAAATGATAAGGCAAGATATTTATAATACAAAAAACAAATGATGAAAATGTAACACTTTATAATGATGTAACTGATATCTGAGAAACTTATAAATAACATCACGGTGTAAATGAAATAATCAAACATTAGACTTTATTGATAACATTGAAAAAAAATAGAATGACACCATGAAATAACATAATGAAGATCATATGTCTCTAACAGTTTCTTAAAAATTTATTTTCTTCTTCAAGAGCTTTAATTTTATGACAAAGCTTGTTAATTTCAGCACGAAGCTCATTAGTCTTTTCAGTAGAATCCTTTTCCTCTTCAGCAAGAGCATTAGTAAGACAAGTAATCTCCTTATTTGCAAGATGAAAGAAATTACAAATCTCTTTGACAAGAACAAAGAAAGATTTGGGAGAAGGAACGAAACCTTCTGCAATAGAAGAATAAAGAGTTGGAAATCGAGGAAGAAACAAAATTATCAAGTTCAGCACAGTGAGAACAAGGAGTATCCTCAGAGATAACCTTGAGAGAATCCTGAACACAGTGAAGAGCAACCAAGGCTATATCAAGATCTTGGAAAGCACTACAAGAAAAAAGAAATTAGAGGAAGATAGAAACAAACAAATGTATTGATTAAGGTCTTACTTGTTATTTGAAGAAGACATTTTGAAACAAATGACAAATATATCATACTCTTTAAATACACAAGATGACAACTGTGATCATTTACAAAGAAGGAAGACAGAAAACGATAAACAATATATATAAAGAAATAATCAAGCACCAATAATATTATGGAAAATTCTATTGAATCCTTTAAAGAAAATATTTAAGTAATAATATTAATAATTGAAATTACAAGAAAGAAACAATAAAATATATTGAAAAACAAGAAAAAAAAACGCTAGAGAGATTCATAATCAGAAGGGTTTTGAAGATAATGAAGGTGGTCTTCAAGCTCAAGTTTAATACAAGTAAGAGAATTAACTTCTTCTCTGAGGTGAGTATTTTTTGCTTCAAGTTGAAGAGTTCTTATATAATAGTTTGTGTAAAAATGACAAAGATCCCTGATGGCAATATGAAGAGGATTATTCTGCATAAAAGGAACATATGGAAAAGTAGCATCAATAAAGGAGCGAGCAGAACCTAGGATACCTTCAAGATGATCACAACGAGTTTCACTCCAAGAAGCCTGACAAGAAAGTACTCAAAGGGAATCTTGAATATCAGAAAGAGTGGTTAGAGCTGTATTAAGATCTCTGATAGGAGTATTTGTTGAATCTTCAGAAGTAGGAGAATCATTTGGAGTAGAAAAACCAGATGAGATAGTAGTGTAAGACATTTTTAGGAATAATGCAGAGAATATCAAGATCTTTTATTAATATTTGATGGAATACAAACTTATAGAAACTTATAGAAGAATACAACAATAACAAAAGAAAAAGGAAATAATCGAAATATCAATAAAATTAAAAAGAAGGTTAAAGAATAAAATCGAAAGATCTGATCAAGAAAAAAAAAGAATATCTAAGAACTTTTATAACTACCAATAAGATCACGAAAAGACTTATTTTCTTCATGAAAGGAAGAATTCTCTAATGAGAGAATAATATTTTGAGATTTAAGATCTCTAATAATATCACAAAGAGACTGATTTTCCTCTTTAAGAGAAGAATTCTCTAAATGGAGAGTAGAAATGATATTTTGAAGCTTAACAAGTTCTTTATAAATAATATCATAAGAACTTATAAAAGAAAGACATAAGAAATCAACCATCAAAGAGAGTGGATGATTTAAAGGAAACAATGGAAAATGATCCTGAATGACTTCTTGAACCAAGGTAACAATAGAAGAACCATCTGAACTTCAAAACATCTGAGATGAGTTCTAATATTAAGAATAGACTCTTAAATATTGACTGAAAGATGACAGGACTGAGTGAGACTTTCTTCAAGAGATTTAAGCGAGTCAAGGATAGAGCTATAAAATAATTGTAAATATGAGGACGTTAATAAAGAGTCAAACAAGAAATATTGCTTACCAGATAGAATCAAAGCAAGAAAAAGACATTTTGGATATTAATAAACGAATATACAACATATCTACTTAAATAAGTGAGAAAATTTAACAATCATCACCAAATATAAAACTAGTATAAACAAAAAGAGAACAGATGACAAGCGAAAACATCAATGACTTTATAGTTTAAGGAGTTGTTTTTTTAGAAAAAAATTTCTAATTTAAGACTATAAACTCTATCATACAACAAGGGTAAAAGGAAAAAGTCAAAAAAGAAATAGTATGAAATAAACAACCTACAACTTAAAGTAAAAAGAAAAATTGATGAAAAATACGAGAAGAAATGATTAGTAAAAACTAAAGATGAAAACAAGTAACATGGAAATGGATCATTGTATCCAATAAGAATTAAGAAAATCATTGTATTGCACAAAAAGCAATGTAAGCAATCTTATAAGTCAAAAGAACACATGATACTTATTGAAGCAACACCACATGCGCAGTTCCTTAAAAAATAATAAAAGAAGCATCAATAATTAACAAAAAAAATTTTTCAATGACAAAGAAACAAAACTTTAATATTAGAATAAAAATGACCCATCTGAAAAATGTAAAGAAAGATATAATTAAAAATTGTAATAAAAAATGCTTTCATCTGTTGCTAAAGGAAATATTCTTGAAAAACAAGTACACAGAAAACTCCAACAAGCAAATATTGAATCAAGAAGAGTCGGAAGGAAAGGAGATAATGGAATAGACGTTGAAGAAAGAATAGCAGGAAGACCTTTTATAATACAAGTAAAAAACTGGGATACTGTGAAAATTGGTAAGCTGGCCATTTACTGAGTTTGTTGAGTTATTATATAACCTGAAGGAATGCTACCACACGAGCCCTTAATGCGTGAAAATCATGTACTAATCTAAAGGGAGATTTTAACTAGTTCACTTGGTGAATAAGGTTATATGAAAGGCTAGATAAAAGCATTGTGACTTTTATATCACCATATCTAGAAAAGATGTGAGGGTACCGAAGAATATTTAAGTTATAAAGCTTTAAAGAAAGCACATCATGGCCACAATTTGTGAAAGTTATCAATCAAGTAAAGACTTGATGTATAATGAATGACCTATTGTGAACATTCTTTAAACAATCCTGATAATAATGATGCATGCTAACCATTAATTGAATTTTAGGAGTAAATGTTGTTCAAGAACTAAAAGAAACTTTGACAGAATTATAAGAAAAAACAATAGGAATAATTGTGGCACCAGAGGAACAAAGCTTTACAAGAGGAGCAAGAAGAGATGCACGAAGAACAAGATTTGAAATTATATTGACTGACATTGAGAATTTGTGTATAGATCTTATAGAACATATTGAGGACACTGAAATATTTATTTTTCAAGAAAATTTATATTATCTTTTATAACAGAAATATATATATATTTTTTGGGGTTTCCCCTTATAGGTAAGCATTATTTCTTTATTTGATATTGTATATAACATGGTATATATTGTGAAAGAAACAACATCTCTTACGTACATATGTAGCAAGTTACAATAAATGTTAGCCTGCTTACGCGAACACATCTAGCTAATATTGAAAAAGAAATTTAAAACAATACTATATACTAGCTGTGCCTGA